GCTATTATTTCATCCAAATGAAAGATGGAGAACAGATAAGCAGATCCATCAAAGTGACTTCTGTACACATTAGTGAACAATAGAGAGGAGGGTGGAGAGGACCCCCCCCTGAGGCGATACTATGGAGGGCAGGTCATGCTGTAGTCAGACAGCAGATGTCCTAACTTGCACCTGAACAGTAGCTATGCCAAAATATGAAGCTACAGGCAGTTCAAAGCAGATGTAAAGCCTGACTGGTTTCAGAAAAGAATGAAATTTAAAGGGTCTCCACTATAATTTAAGCAAATGATATCAATGTGGTCCTGCCCAACGGTTCCTAAGGTCTCTGTCCCGTCTTCAGGCTGTGACTGTAACAACCACGCCCAGCGCTGTTACTTCGACCCAGGGGTGTATGAGGCCAGTGGGAGGCGGAGTGGAGGAGTGTGCGAGGGTTGCCAGCACCACACCACAGGGCCAAAGTGTGAGCGGTGTGCCCCAGGCTACCAGCCCAACCCCCGCAGCCGAATGGATCGTCCCGATGCATGCATTCGTAAGTAGAGAAATCTGAAGAAATGAGAGCGAGACCAAGCAGTGTTTCCTTCACAACCTTCCATGCCCTCCAGGCTGCATCTGCAGTGCAGAGGGGACGGTGAACGGCGCCCAGTGTGAAGACAGCACAGGCTCCTGTCAGTGCAAGGCTAATGTGGAGGGCCCCCGCTGTGACCGCTGCAAGAGAGGTTTCTATGGCCTGAGCTCATCCGACCCTCTGGGCTGCAAACGTGAGTCATCCAACACTTTGTTTGGGGTTTTATTCCCATACAGATTTACTTTTATTTCCAGGATTAACTGTAGTTTTCCAAGCTTCAAATAGAGCGGTTAACTATTATTTATCTCCATTTCATTCCTAAATATAAAGGAACTGCTTTTGGATATTTTTGTCCTGACTTTTTCAGGAGATTAAACTCATAGTGGAGGATTTTAATGAATTTTTGAAAAGACCCACCTTCTCCACTTTAAAAAAAAATGCACATGCACAACCCGGTACCCGCCCCCCGAGAGGGAACGCCACTGAAAGGCGTATGAGCGTGCAGGAGCCCACTTCTCCTCCTGAACGCTCTGTTTAAAAGTTGCTGTTTGCATCGATCATACAAACTTACTTTCCCAAAGAAGATTTGCAAATTTTCCTCTATGACAGACTCACCTCTGGTGAGTGAAGATGGGCATGAGCACGTAGGACCGCCTTAGGGTAACATATCACCAGAATGATTGACTATTAGGAAGACCACTTATAGAATATAGAAAATAGAGTATCCTCCACTAGAGCTTTAACCCAAAGATCATCCATTATTTTCTCCATTATTTCTCTCAAATGTTCATAAATCTGTGTTTGTTAGCAAATCTCCTTAAATCGAACATTTTACAGCTAAAGTAAGATGGAGATAGTTATACACAGGTGAAGGAATGCTCCAGATTCCCTCGTTCAGCTCATGAAAAAGTGTTTTGATCACAAAGCAGAGTGAGTGACATGGAGTGTAAAATGCTTCCCTTCTTCATCGGAGCAGCAACTTTCACCATCTGCACCATTTGATCATCATTTTTATTACCCAGTCCAAATCCGAGGAAGAGTGTTTCTCAGATAGCGTCCTTGGAGAAGGAAACATGTTCAGTA